CAATATTTATAACAGTATCGATATATTCACGTGATGAATGTCGATATTTCGTCATGTTTTGCATAATGTACGATAAGGCTCAAAATGTATTAGTGGACGGTTGGATGACGGAAAAAACGACAACGACACATGTTTTTGTAGCTTCTTTTTTTGCTTAATGTTTAGTATATTAATACAAAATTTTAAAATATATTGAAATAAATATGAATTCGATACTCCACGATAAATATTGAATATCTATATGTTTTCCCCAAGCCTAGCGACAAGTTGCAGATCGCACTTTCGTAAGTGTAGGATTATTTCATAACCCAATAATAGTTGAATACATCTACGTAGTATACAAATATATTGTAATTGATTGATATAACCTGCGTTTATTTATAAAATAGTTTCAGATAATAATTGGATGCACCAAAAGAACCTTCTCGTGTGGCGATACCTATATTATATTATAGACAGGTACAACATGATACAACTCGTACCTATGCCTATAGATGCTTACTTACGAGTTGACGTATACTTACTTCTCAACATGAAAATAAACTGCATACCAACCGAGGTATGTACCTAAATTACTTTCATGTTAAAAAGTACTTCTTCATTATTTTATTTGGACACTATCGTCCTATGCGCTTCTTGTAAACTAATAAGTACCAACAAAAGTTTATTTTTTTATAAATTTTTATCCCAAGCGTCTTGGACGATGATGTCCAAATAAAATAATGATGAAGTACTTTTCAACATAAAAATAAACTAGGCAGCCTAGGCACACTCAAGTGTTTTTTTACCAGTCTTTTTATCTGGTTATACTAGTAAGTAGGATAGTAGTATCCTGTATCGTGGAGGCAGTTTACAAACATAAATTGCACAAGGACTAACATCCAGACCCGAAATAATTATTTGTAGGACATACAAATACTTGTTCCGTGCGGGATTTGAACTCGCGGCCCCCAGCGCAGCCACTCATTGCCAAGCCAGTGCGCCACGGACCCGTCAATTCGTCAAAGTATATCTGTCACATACGAGTTCCCCCATACCTAACGTGACCATACCACTTTAGGCGGGACGGTCCCGATTTAAAGGTTTGTGTCCCGCTGTCCCCAAAATACGTAAAAATGTCCCGCTTTGACAAACAAAAGCGTAGCATCATGCAAACTCTGTCACCCGTGCCATCATTATGATACCGCGCGTATCAGGTTTGCCGGCATGACCTGACTAGTTACGTGATTATTCTGAAAACCTACACTTTTGAACTTAAAGTTACGAAGTGACAATTTTTAATTAATCTACAATAAATTATCAAATAACATAAGTTATTTCTAATTAGTATTTATTTGCTGTTCAGAAAAAATTAAAAAGCCAGCAGCCAGATTTTATATGATTCTAAGTTCTCATTCTCACTTTTAATAATTAAAAGATTCAAACAAGTATGCGTTTTATTTTGAAAACTATAATAAAGGGTTCCAGATTGAATTTTGGTAACGCCGGCTATTCTCAACGGAGAATAGCCATCTGCGCAGTACAGAATTATATTACTCAAGTGTATGCACAAGCACAGGTCTACTCTACTCACTCTTATAGTCCGATGGAATAGTAATCCGAGACGACGGGGGAGAGATCAGGCGCAAGACCAACGGCTTTACGTGCTTCTGGAGGCACGGTTGTGAAACCCCGCAAACTTCAATAAGTTTGAAATCAATATTCTAGGCTGCTACTGAGAATTTTGTGACAGAAAACCCCAGTAAATGATTCTAGGCCCGACTCGGGTTTTGAACCCGGAACCACATGATCAGCAATTGCGTTTACGACCATTAGACCAAGAAGGCAGTCAAAAGTGTTAAAATTATAATAATTTTAAAGGCGTCCCGCTTTGAGGAAAAAAATAAATGGTCACTTTACTCGTACCTATAACAAATTTTTACTTATCAGTTTGTATTATAAGCATACTTAGTACCTATATTTACATGATTATTACTTGCTACTGGCACACTGTTTGAGGGCTAAGGAAGGCATGCAAACCGGTTTGGATGCCTAATTTTTCACTACCTCTCAATGGCATACCACGGTTATCAATAATTTTTTAAGATATTGTTACGTTTATACGAGGACAGCGTGCGTGATAAAGTTGTACACAGGTGCTCTATACGACGCGCTGCGGACGACTGGCGGGACTGTTTGGTCAGCCCGCGCACTATTTAATTGCACAATATTTATTTGATATTTCTTTTTAAAATGATATATACTCTTTTATTTAAAAATAAACCCATAATTCACTCATGTATTTACTGGTGAACACATAGCCTGAATTTAATTTAAATTGATTTCATTACATTCGAATTAAACGCTTTTTCAATTAGTGGACGTACCTAAAATTGTAGATTTTGAGGAAACTGTGATCTTTTTCTATCGAGCCAGAATGTGTCAATCGTGTTTTGGCTACCGTAATTCACTAAGATATATAAGATCAATCTTTTACTTTCATGATGAATTTAAAAAACATGTGAATACGTAGTTTTTAATGACAAAAAATTGCTTTTCTGCGCACCTATAAAGCGTGAAAAATCTGCTTTTGGCGTCCACTTCACCTTTAGGTTTCATGCAGCTCAAATGGTCCGATTATTTCTCCGTTTAAAACTCCGGTTCACACATTCACTTTAGATTGGGTTTCTTATATATTATTGGGTATCTTCACGCATTAAATGTGAATTTTCTATGTGCCAACTGTGCAAGTTGTGTAAGTTAAATAACCGTCATTTTTAAAGGTCGTTTCATCTGTCCATAAAATCTTGACCTCTGGGAATGAGGTGATCGCCACCATTCTGGTTCTATAAAATAAATTAAAAATTAGTACAAAATACATTATTTTTAAGTGAAATATGTTTAAAAAAATATCACGCGGGGTTTCTTGCTGGTTCTTCCCAAGACAGAGGTATTTTTCCGAACCAGTTGTAACTAAAAAAATGACTTTCAATAAGTATTATGCGATAGTCTATATTGAATAAAAAATCATCCATTCATTTTATTCACTTGTCAAGAAACTGCGGATCTTCTCGATTTCTTGCCAACATTGTTCTGCAAAAATCGATCCTGGTACGGGTGATATTCGTATCGCTTTAAAATTCGATGAACAATACTTTTCGGTATTCCAGTGTCTTTTACTATTGCAGGTACTGAAGTGCTGGGATCATTTTCAATTTCATTTAAAACTACGTTTTGCCGTGCTCTCCCACCTACCGTACGAACATTTGGTATTCGTCCTTGCGAATACGACTGGTGCACATTGATGAACACGCGGTGATCTTGGTGACGTGCCGCATTAGGGTATCTCTCTCGATAAATTCTGGCTGCGGCAGAGACGTTATAATGGCATTCACCGTAGATAACATGCATTGTTAGCATATTCTTGCGCAGTATACACATACGGCATTTTGACAGAACAATAAATAATAAAGTCCAGGGAAACACAGGCAAATTCGTTCACACAAATGCGATATCAAGCACGATTACAACGACATGCACGGTAAACGAAGGAACGCAGCGTACTGAATGATAATAACCAAACCAATAATCACCGTCCCCAATTTTCGCACATGCTAAACCCAACATTATAAATGAACTTCAAATAGTTCAAAATATTTTTTTTTTTTTTTCTTTTTTTTTTTTTTTTTTTTTGGGGGTTGCTCGGTCTTTTTTTTAAATGGTTCCCCTTTTGCCTTTTTTTGTGTTTCGTATTAGAAACCTTAGTTCAAATATCTTCTGTCGTAGGGCCACGAACTCGCCCTATTATTTCCGTAATGCCAACCTCTACCGAGACCTAGAGCTCCCAACAACCCAGCAGTTCCTTAAATCACTCTCTAAATATTGGTATTAAACAATCTTTAAATATTGATATTATTCACACTTCTAGGTCAGCACATATGTTTTGTTTTTTGTTTCTTAAATAATATTGTCTGTGGTTCCTATAAACATCGTAAAATCTTACGGTACATCGCGAAAAATGGGTTAGATTTTATATTTCAATTTATGGTAAGTAACGCAGCAATTCATTTAATAACAGTTTCATATAAAAAAAATATTTGAAGCAATATAATCACCATATTGAGCTTTTGCAAATTCAAACAAGACGCGGGTTACGTCAGTTCTTTCTAAAAGAAACGTGACAATGGCACCCAGAGATGCGTCACTTTTTTTGCGCCAGTCCGCATGCATCGAATAAAAATAAAGTTCTTATATAATATTGAAAATAAAGTTTTATCTTATGAATAAGTACGTACTTATTCGGTGTCGTTATCACTCGAATCTTCATATGTGCTATAAATTAAAAATTTTTGTTGTTAAATGAGTGAAGTACAATAGATGATTTTTTTCTACAGCGATCTTTTACATAACTTTTTAATAATAGTTAATAAATATATATTATATCAATCATTATGAAAAATCATTATAAATAAAGAAAGTAGTACATATAAAAGGTGCCTGTATATTGAAGGTTTGTAACACCTGGTTAAACGACCGAAAGCTCATTGTCCGTTTTTCTCAATCGATTTGGCACGTACTATAGTAAAGTACTTTTTTTTTAAAGATAAAGCGTCAAAGTTATGTGTTAAAACGATGGTTAAAAACCATGACATAATTAAACTTTATTTTTTGTACTAAACTCTCAATATTAATTATTGAATTTGTAACTGAAATCAAAAGCACAGTTATTTAGGACTACATTAAAGAAAATACTGAAAAATTAGAAATTTGTGATCAGTACCTAAATATGTGATTTAAGTTGATTTTCAACATTTTTAAAAGTATACCTATTATCACTTAACCAAGTAACATCGACTTTTTTTTGCTAGAACGGGTACAACCTAGTTTATCACTCCGTACCCGCTTGACGTTGAGATTCGAGACAGTCTGTATAATTAGGTACGGAATGTGACGGTTAGTGAGAAAATGGGTATAGACAGTATAGTAAACTTACAAGCACGATGTGACTGAGCCAGGGCTGGTTAGGGCAGGTGGCAGCGGTGTCCGCAACCGGCGGCGCAGAGACTACGCTCGGCGAGCCAGGCGCGCATGTGGTGTAGGTGGCCGCCATGCGCGCAGCCCTGGCACCAGGCGAACAGCCCGCGCACCGGTCGCCGGCACACCGCGCACAGCTCACACGCGCGCCGCGGCACGCAGCGCTCGCACGCGCGGCCACGTGCCCGCCGTCCGCAGCGCCCGCAGCTTGCCGCCACGCTGCTCGACTGCTGCGACAGCGCCCACACCCATCCTACCCACGCACATCGCACCACCTGCACACGAAAACACGCACACATGCACACCTGCACGCCCGCAGCTCGCCGCCACGCTGCTCGACTGCTGCGACAGCACCCACACCCATCCTACCCACGCACATCGCACCACCTGCACACGAAAACACGCACACATGCACACCCTCACGCTCGCAGCTCGCCGCCACGCTGCTCGACTGCTGCGACACCGCCTACACCCACCCCACCCATGCGCATCGCACCACCCACACACGAACACACACACCTTCACGCCCGCAGCGCTCTAAGCTCGCCACCACGCTGCTCGACTGCTGCGACAGCGCCCACACCCACCCCACCCACGCGCTTCTCAAAATTCACCCATTGGAACACAGTCTACTCGACTCATACGCATCTATGCGACATATCCGCAACTAACAATACAAATTAAAATGCGTTGGCATCAATGACAAAGTTTTTTAATCTGATTTTTTAAACGTTACCTGTACTTTAAGGATTCTATCCCGAATATAGGAAGATTACTCAGAGGAATCAAAATAGGCCATTGATACCTTTATTTCGTCCCGGATTAGAACCTACGTTTCCGCTTTACCATTGCGCTTCTAAACCAAAGATAAAACACCTTGTTACCAGAAGAGCATCCGATGTACTCATCACACGAAACATCATTTTTCATTATGTTGTGTACCCGGTCGAGTCGACCCATTAGCACTACAGCTATAACGCTACATTCCATAAAAAAAACTCAACACATAGACGCCTCGTGGCTCACCCACGTGTAGCTTTCACCCATCGACGACAAGATCGGTCATTTGTCACGAATCACAGTTATTGTGAAGTTAAATTATTTACATCAAAAAATAAACTAACATTTGATTAAGATATATTCTCCATACTGTAGTAAAAAACTTTGATTCGTGCATATTACATAAAAGAAGAAATAATAAAGTGGCCAAGGCTAAACGCACTTTTGCATTTGCAAGAAATCAATTTCAGTATCTGTCGTCGTTATTATGCAACCGCCTCGTACAAAATCTACTACTATATCCAGTGACGAGTAGGAAATGTAAAATAAAGTAGGTCGATTGGCTTAAAAAACTACAATACATAGAAACTGAACTTCTTCTTAAATGATAAATTTATCTAGGTATTGGATATTTGGTTTAAAAATAACTCACGCACGCACGCACAATTTAGTTCTGAACTGATGTGACTAGGTACGTAACTGAATTTATCAGAATAATAAACAGTAGTGTGTAGTGTAGGTAACACGATGGATAAAAAAGCTTGACTATCCTTATTAAAATTTCATTTAAGTAAATTTTTCATTAGTGGGAAATCGAACCAGGTATTTGATTTATTTAACCCGTGAATTCGAATTAAAGTGCCTAGGTGTAGACTAGCACAGTGGCAAACTTAACCTACTGTTTAAGTAAGTAAATTAGGTATTTAGGACAAGTGTTGTAAATTATTAGGTACTGGTACGATCGTGGGCTGGGTGCCGTCGTTCGGCGACGCGCGTTTATTGACCCTTTATCAGCTGATTTCAGGTATTGAAGTTTCATTGCTGGTTTTACGTTTAGGTATTTTCATGAATCTTTTTATGAATTTATTGTTTCATTTAGCTGTACTAACATGATGAAGCGTGAATAAAGCGTAAAGGTAATCAGCTGATTCTAAAAATGTTGACTGCAACGATGTGTCGCCCGATGAACTTTGCCGCCTATCGTCTACAAACCCAAAGAAATGTGCATGCGTCTCGCTCGCTTTTACAACTTTCATTCGCTAGTTTTACGCAAACGCCGTAGGATAAATTGTTTTCATGCATTTTTTGGATATTCGGAAATTTTGTCTGTCTAGTTATTCGTTACATTAGAAAGATAACGATAAAGGTACGTAAAGATACGTTTGCACATGTGACTTCTAACTGGCATACAAGAAAATACTCAAATTTTTCCGCCATCTGTCGAAAGTCATAAAGTTTCTCTTAGTCGACACATACCGTATCAATCTGAGAAATGAAGCGATGTATTCTCCTACGCCTTAATCACACAGAAATTAACCATTTGTAGGTAAAGCATTAAAAAAGCTTACCTCTGTTGCAACATTATACATCTTGTGCCTATGTAGTAGCTCGATGTACCCAAGTAGCCACTGTTCTTGCAGACTCTCATCGATATACAAAAACAAGTCATTTCTGTGAACACAAAAGTAAATATAATGCAACAAAGAAAGTATGTCACTCTTAATTATATATCATACAATAACAGTTCCGTGTGAGGAGAGTAAAAATGCCGGTTAGGGTGAGAAATGAATGTATTTTTCCACACACTAATTGAAGGTACTAGAACACTCGCGATTACATAATGATAACAATGTCCAAAGGAGAAGAGGTTTTATACTAGTAGACATAAGGTTGCGTCTTGCCTGCATCAAGTTTGAGCGTTATCTATTTTTATGCCTACACACATTACATTACTTGACACAGGCTACTGACCCTTAAGACCGATTTACATTTCGACAAGTACAGTAGCGAGTTAACTTGCAAACCTGGCGAGTTAAGTTTGAACCTCGTTTGAACGGCAATAAGTGAGTTAAGTAGCAAGTTAACGATTAAGTTGAACAGGATAGCCTGCCGAGCTATTTTTCGGCGAGTTAAGTGGTACTGTCCTCCCGCGCGTCTTCGGCCACCCGCAACTAAACTCGCCATTCGTGTAAACGAGCAAGTTTAGTTCAGTGCATAAGTTGACAGGACGCAACGTTTGCGCGCCAAAACGTACAATTGTACTTTTATAATGAAACTCGCCACAAAGTTTGTATGATACTGTTTATTGAATATTTATACGTTTTATATTGAGTTTTAATAATAAAGTGTACGGAAGATATCACGTATAAATTCGTACAGGAGTATTTAGAACACGAATGTTTATATAATAGTAGAAGTTCAAATTGTAAAATTAAACCTGCGCGAGATGCTGCACTCATGAAAACTTCTTTAAGAACAACCATTTACTTCTCTGACTAGATCATTTAATTCTTGACATAATCCTAGAACCATCTTAAACGAAAACCAGAAAAATTCTGTAGTCTTGAAACGTCACTCTAACAAACTCTATGAACTAATGTCCTTAACTAAACTCGCCACGAAAACATTGTTTGAACGCTACTGCCCACTTAACCGTTTACTGTCAACTGCCCTGTAACTAAACTCGCTACTGTACTTGTCGAAGTGTAAATCGGTCTTTATCGTTGAGAACATTCTTGTGCGATGTAATGTAATACGCAACTGGCTATACACTTAGTTACAATTTAAAAAAATTTAGAAAAACAAAGCAATAAAAGCAAATTAATACAATAGAATCATTTTTGTTTTTTATTCAATATAAATTACAAGAATACTTATTAAATAAGTTTTACCACTGTTTCGAACTTTAAGCACTGTTCTGAAAAACCAGCAAGACACCCGGCGGGATTTTTTTTAAAGATTTATTTTATACAATTAACTATGAAAAGAACTTTTAAAAACAACAAGGTAGCGATCACCTCATTCCCAGCAGTATAATCAATTATGTACTCTAGTAGTATAATAAACCTTACTAAACAAGTTCTGCTTAGTAAAAAATTAACTTTCGGATACTTAGATAGGTGCTGCATATTAATTATGATGAAAATCATCAAGGCCGTAAAGATTGTGATGTGTAGTGTGTGCGCAGTGTGTAGTGTAGTGTGTGTGCGCGCAGCGTGTAGTGTAGTGTGTGTGTGCGTAGTGTGTGTGTGTGTGTGTGTGTGTGTGTGTGTGTACAGAGGAGCAGGTGATCTTTGCTCCTGCTGCACGATGCACACGACGGTGGCCGTCTGTAATCGCCCAAGTCCTAGTGCTGACGCAGCTGTGGCCAGCAGTGTGTGTGTGTGTGTACAGAGGAACAGGTAACGTGTGCTCCTGCAACACGATGCACACGGCGGACGTCTGCACATCACCCAAGTCCGCGTGCTGGCGCAGCTACGGCCAACAGTGAGTGTGTGTGTGTGTACAGAGGAGCAGGTGACCTGTGCTCCTGCAGCACGATGCACACGACGGCGGCCGTCTGCACATCGCCCAAGTCCGCGTGCTGGCGCAGCGCTGCGGCTAACAGCGGCGCCACGTCCAGCCGTGCACTGCGTTCCTCTCCGACGCGCACGCACAGTCCCCCCACCTCTCCCTCCTCCTGCGCGTAGATTACAGGACTAATTCATTCATTGTAGTAATTCACATTATTATAACAACATTACAAATCTTTTTATATTATTACCAAGTTGTAATAGTAATATATTTTATATTAAAAAAATTAACCACTTGGTCCTTCTTAAATTATTATTAAATGGTCGGCAAAATCTTCTATGTCGAGTTATCGTTTTTATAAGAGATTAACCTTAAAATATTTTTCGATATTATGAAAGGCATTCGGAAAGGTTAGTCGGATTTTTTTTAGTTCCTTTATTTCCTGATAATAAGCAAAACGTTTCTAATAAGGCCAATTTTTGTCCAACGAATGTTACATGTTTACTTTGTGCCTTGTAACGTCGGATATCCTCGCCTTAATAACATCAGCATTTTGTTATAATATTCAGGGATGACGGTGTTACAATATATAGAAATGTGATTTTGCTAAGTCAATAAAATATTTTTATATTCAAATTAACAAAATAACAATGTTATAAACATAGGAAATAATATTTTTCTTAAATCCTTTAAAATAAATTCTGTAGACATAAATACTTGCCTAAATTGATCTTCGTTTAAAACAAGTAATGCATCAAAATCATATGCAAAATTACAAAACTGAAATAAAAAATTCCTGTGACATGTGTGTCTATCAAATGTACGCGATCGTTCATTAAGTCCATTCAGCATTTATTGTGACATGGTCATCGTCTAAATAGTTTCAATGTTAAAAATATTTTTGTGAAAACATTTAATAATTATTTTAACAAGATAATCGGCAACACTGACGGCAGTGATGGAATTCTGGTGTCCGTAGGTCCTGTGCGCTTGCTCGTGCGTAGCGGCAGAAGCTCCCGAGACCCCTGAACCTCCTGAACCCCCCGAGCTGGAGCCGCCGGGCGAGGAGCTGCCACCCCCCGCGCCACCGCCCGCACCACCTGTGCCCCCCGAACCCCCCTGCACCACCTGCAACACGGAACACAGTTTCTCGACTCAAGACCAAGACGCAAAACTAGTACAATGTCTGCAGGATGAATCGTTTGAAATAACAGAAGCACACTTCACAAACTTTGTGCGAATTTAGCAAGGAAATTCCGAGCCCTAAGACTTGAACAATAAATTATACGACATGCTGTTGCCAGCGTATAGTACACATTTATGATTTATTATCTCAGTCATATTATCATTTATGTATAAAATAAACAATAGGACTAATATTTCCTTGGGGGACTCCATTTATTTTGCATATCTGTATTTAGATTCACTTTACTTTTTTACAATACATTAAAATTTATTACATAGAAATAAAAAGGTCAGGATCACTAATCTTGTTTTTATATTATGGAAGGAATGGTGTTATAGTATTATAAGTCAAATGTTGCGAGAATCGGTAGGGTCTTTTTGATCTACTTATAATACTATATTACTTTGACTTCATTTCCTTTGATCGATGACATAATATAAAAACTTAATGATTAGTGATCCTGAGCATATTTTTTTTTATTTCTATGTAATAAATATTAATGTATTGTAAAAAAAGTAAAGTGAATCTAAATACAGATATACAAAATAAATGGAGTCCCCCAAGGAAGTATTTTAGTGCCTATGTTGTTTATTTTATACATAAATGACAATTTATTATTTAAAGAAGGAGGACAAACGGACGCACAGCACACCCCTTATATTAAGTGAAAATCAAATTGTGGATGCATTTTCAAATTGGAGGACTAAGTGGACCGCTTCGTTCAATATAAAGGATCTCTAGTTATCTACACTTACCATACGCAACATAGCACACCATAGTGCCGCTGATAGATATATAGAATGTGGTCCTTCTTCAATCGAGGCAACTCATTCGTGCTGAGCTATACATATAGCTTCAGCTGGCTCTACTAGATATAAAATTTCAGTTCAGTTATTCTGTGGAAGTATTTTTAAATATCGAATAAGGCAAAACATGAAACAACGTATCAATTTTCACAATCCTAAGTTTAAAGATTTAAATTAGTTGCTCAAATGACCCGTTTCAACTAAAGCTTGAAATAAATGTTTCACTGCACTCATACATAGCGAATTATTATCCTCTTGAACTCGTCGTAAGCATTTTTTTTGTCCTACCTTTTCAAGAAATATTCTTTATAAACACACTTACAACTTTGTTATCGCAAAATAAGGGCTTGGCCAAAATTCCGTAACGCTGAGTGTATATCAACCACTGTCATTTTCCTGTTTTGTTTTTTTCTATAAATGAAGTATTAATTATTTTAAAATTAGGAAATTTTTAAAATTACCAGGAATGCATCGTTATTTCGCCGATAACGGACATAAAAAAAAATAAAACAGTATATTATTTTTGAATGGCTTCAGTTTTGAAAACAGAGTGATGATTTCGTAGATTTCCTTCATTCGATTTCATACGTGGAATCAGTCCGAGCAATTGTCTCTCCCGGTTGTCAAGTTCAGCCTTTCGTACATAGCGCGAGAGCAAAAGATCGTTAAAATCTATTCTTTAAATTTTTAGCAACCTAGTCTAATAAATAAACAAACAAGGTGAACCGCAGCACCTGCATCGAGGTCGTGTTCGTCGCAGTGGTGCGGCGGCGGGTGTGGCAGGTGCGGCAGGTGTGGCAGGTGCGTGTCAGGAGCGGGGGGCGCGCTGCGCAGCGGGAAGGCCTCCTCGGGCAGCGCCCAGTCGGCCGCCTCCACGTCCACGTAGTGCGCAGACGCGGCCGACACCCACCCACACCCTGCCTCTGGGAATCGACCAACGCGATCTCATAACAAAATTCTGTAGTATATTATTGTAAATAATAAAGCTTCAGTTTTATTGCAATGAAGTGTCTGTCTTAAGCCACTGCATTTTTTTTTACAGTCGTATGTGTTTAATGCATAGTACCTGGATGACCGAGCTTTCCTCGGTATTATTTTTTTGGAAATTATATTTGGATACAAATTACATACTGATGAAACATGAATAATATTTTTTGATCTTATCGACATAATAGAAAAAACTGAACTGGGCTTATTTGAATAAAAAATCATGAGTGCAATTCGTTTAATTTAAATTTTTCGTATTTTTTAAAAAATACTAATAAAAGGCCTCGAAATAATCGACTTTCTCACAAAAGAAGGGAATTTGAAAAAAAAATTCGGACCAGAGACAGGACGCGAACCAGGACACTTCGAGTTCGCGACCGCCCGATTATCACTTGAGCTATTACGATCGTTAATACGCTGTCAAAATTTACCTTCTTATATTGTAGCAGTTTTTCATGGCCTGAAAACACGGACAAAAGGACATTTTCTAAAAATGAATCCTAAAATTCTAAAAATGAATTGCCCCCGAAACCCCCTGGACACTAAATTTTATGAAAATCGTTAGAGCCGTTTCCGAGATTCCGATTATATATACAAGAATTCCTCGTTTAAAGGTATAGGATACAGGTGTCCCAGAAAACCAGTACCAACGAAGGTATATGGTCTGGGGAGACCAATACCTATCGATTGGACCCACATGTATGTTCTGCAATTTTTTGTAGTAACACAAATAAATTGGTACTTTATAGGGCATTTTTGTTCAAATAAGCGGAGTTTAAAGTTGATTAAGTCGAAACTATTGTTTATTTTATGCATTTGAAATTACTTTTTTCACAATTTTCCGATCAATATGGTGAATAATTATGATTCTTAGATAAAAAAGGTTTAAAATAGCGCAATTAAAGTCAAATCAAAATTATTTTTTCACATTGTGCTAAATAAAACAACAGAAATAATTTTAATAAATCATTTATTTATTACTGTTTTCACAATAAATATTCAAAGTGCCTAACACCTGCCTCAATGCACGAACGGCACCGAGGCAAAAACTTTCCGCGCAAATCTCGGAAGGCTTGAAGTGTTTTCTTATTATATATTTTGATCTTCATTTAATTTAGTTTTTAACTCCTCTATACTCGATAATTCGTGTTAGTAAACTAATTCCTAATAGCATCCCCAGATATAAAATCTGTGGGGTTCAGGTCTGAAGATCTTGGTGGCCAGGCGATCGGTGCATTACGGCCAATCCACCTCTCAAAAAAATGTTCAAATGACCTCTAACTTGTCTTGCATAGTGGCAAGAGACACCGTTACACTGTAATATCATGTTCTGGCATGTTAATAAAGTAACATAAGAATCTGCCATGGTCTTCACAAAATATTTTTTTTTAATCTCGTTGGGAGTTTTTTGGGCCAACAACGCCCGTCCACAAATTCACACAAAATTGGTGTTGAAAATTGTGACGCCGAACCAGTTTTAGAATTTCGGTCTCCCAGAAATGGTAATTAAACATATTAAATATTCGATTCCTGGTAAATGTCGATTCGTCAGTCCATGAAGTTCTGTCGAAAAAGTCTGTGTCTCCATTGTTTCTTCATAACATCTCTTGACAAAATTCAATTCGGCGTTGGTAGTCCGGTGCAATTAAATCTTGCACTTTCCGTATATGATACGGGTGGTATCCCTCATTGCGCAGTATTTTATGCAAGGTAGTTCGAGAGATTCCTGTGAAAAAAGGACGAACACAAATATTTTACTTTTGGGCCTAAATCAACACAAACAACCTTTCAACAATTATTATTATTTACCTGTACGTAGTTTAATTGCCATCGTACTCTTAGAGGGATCTATTGCTACTTCTAAAACAATGTCAACGCGTTCTGAATCTATCGGTTCACCATCACAAGATCGTCGACCGATCAATCCTGGTACACGGCCTTCCATGTGGGAATTGTGCACGCGAAGAAAAAGATGTCGGTCTGGATAAGTGTCTGGTTGGCGCCCTCCTCTGCGTATCAACATGTCGCGGTACAATCTCGCAGCAAGTCCGGCATTTCCTTGTGCGTAGCCGTAATAATAATGCATTTCTGCATAATCCCGTTGAGAGTAAGCCATAATAACAATGCACAATATCATGTTTTTACTTAAGAGAGTAGGCGATAAACGTCTGACGACTCTGACAATGACAAAGAAAAAAAGCGCATTCCAGAGAGAAAAACGTAGCCGTGCTTTTGTCATTACGATTGTTCTCTTTTCAACACCACCTGTTCCACGCACCACTTACCTGCACCCGAAACCCTATCTCATTTTATACCTTATGCTTGAAATAAAAGTAAGTAGCGAGTAAAATTTATGTAAATACGTTATTTAAATTTTTTTATCCAACATTTATAACTACGCACCATATTAATCGGTATAAAGTGAGAAAAGTAATTTCAAATGCATGAAATAAATGTCACTATTTTCACACAAACATGCCCTATAAAGTACCAACATATTGTTATTTTGAGAGCAAAAACTTTATGGGTTCCTTACCCATAAAGTTTTTGAAATAATCAGAAAGTTATTCAGTCAGGGTTAAGTAATTTGTTTAAGTTGAAATCAAATTAAAATGTATCTCAAACACAAAATTCAATTTTGTGACCAAAAAAATTCATATCTCAAAACTACAAAAAATCGCGGAACATACATGGGGGTCCAACCGATAGGTTTGGGTGTCCCCAGACCGGTACAGGTTTCCTGGGACAACCTATATAATTGTTATTTTGTGAGTTTTTTATTGATTATTTTTCTGATTATTTAAAGATTATCTGGTAGAATACGCCTTAAGACGTTGTTTAATGATTTAGTTCCTAAGTGCGATCATAAATGGCGCTTGCTGTATGTTGCTTCACGCGGTGTAAAGGTTTTTCGATTTAATAACCCTCGGGTTCATACGGCTCACAATAAAAAAGAAAACTAATTGGTTTGTTAGTACTGTATATTGAAGTTTAATTTCAAATACATACCTACCTCGAACTACCTCGTCATACCTATGTACTGGATTATACATAGTGTTGGTACTTCGAGCCGACTGTGGATCGGTCGGTTAGTTTGGCAAGTTGTTCAGTTTTTGGAAGAGGTTTTGGCTGGGCAAGTGGATCGCTTGCGCAAACTAGCCAAGTTCAGCAGCAGTGGTGGCAAGGAGGCTACTACCTACTGCAGACGGTGCCGGGAGTGACGGTGCCTGTCAGGAAGCAAAGCGGAACAACTACGAGCGGAGGAACGGGGAGTGCGGGGCGCAACGCGCCTTGTACGTCATCAACTACAGTCCATTGAGGTGATACCAGGGTAAATTGTAAGTGATTTGAACCTTATTTACATGCAAAAATTAACTTTGAAAATATTAAATCAAGTGCAGTGTTTACAATAAAGTGGTGCAAATTTGAACTCTATTTCTTAGAAGATTGAAACTTAGTAAAATTTTGGACATTACTTGGAGTTAGAATAATTTAGTAGTTTGTTCACATTAGCTTAGTTAGATTTTAAGGAAATTTGGCAAAGACGGGGAACCTATGCCCAATTTTTTTGGAAACATAACAAATGCAAAAACACTTGTAATTTTTTAGGATTTTCTGTAACTTATGTTTCTTGCATAGTAAAAAAGAATTATATTTGTATTGACGTTAAATAATAGTTTGATTCAAAATAGAAGATTTAGTTAACTTGCAGGTCGATTCTTATGACCGTGTGAAAAAGGCTTTAAATAATTATAAAAAGAGTCCTAAAGAGAGAATAACACAGCAATATTTACAAATCAGATTAGATTCTCTAAATGAACTTTGGTCTAAGTTTAATGATACACACGATAAGATTGTGAGAGCATCTACTGATAGAAAATTTGCTTATTTTAAAGATAACATGTATGAATTAGTTGAAGTGTTGAGTGAGGTGTGGAATATAAAACAGTTTTAAAACAAGTGCTGGACACCTTTGAAAAACCAGTAAAGGTTGTTTCAAATGTGGTTGATTCAAATAGTTCACAGACTCAGAGTACAAACATTCAATTGCCTCGAATTGTAATACCTACCTTTACAGGGCAGTATTCAGAATGGACCACATTCCGAGATCTGTTTGTATCGTTAGTGCATAGTAATTCTCAGTTAGACAATGTGCAGAAAATGCACTATTTAAAGGGTTATTTGTCTGGTGAACCGGAACAACTTCTTAGGCTGATTCCAATTGCTGATTCAAATTATACGAGATGTTGGACATTATTAAATTCGAGATATAACAATAAGAAATTCTTGTGTCATTCTATTCTCAAAAAATTGTTAAGTCAAAAAAATACTGTCGGTGAGCCTGCGCAAATGTTAAAGGGATTGATTGACATCACCACTGACTGTTTAAGTGCGTTAACAAACATAGGAGTCGATGTGTGCTCCTGGGATATACTTATAATACACTTGTTAACATTTAACTTCACGTAGATTCCAGAAAAGAGTGGGAAATCTATATTAGCAACAGTGAACTTGACGAACTTCCTAAGTTCACTCAATTTAAAGACTTTTTAACGAAACGTTATCGCGCTTTAGAGTTTCTGGAACCTAAGTCATCAGTATCACACAAGGCTCAAAGAATTCAGTCACAAAATGTTTATAAGCCTAAGGTTTTTCACGCAACTGAACTTAAATGTGAATTCTGTTCTGACAATCACAAAATTGGTAACTGTAAAAAGTTCGCCAAGGAAGATATTGATAACCGTAGAAATTTTATTGAGAACCGTCTGTGTTTTAATTGTTTTGGTCATCATGCAGCCAAGATATGCCAAAGTACTTTAAGCTGTAGAATTTGTAAACGTAAACATCATTCGATGCTACATCCTAAAATGTCTCATGATGAAGGTTCAGGTAGGTCTGGTGATGTGCCTAGTGGTTCTGCTAGTGCTCAAGGGTC